TTAACTATTCTCCTCCACCTGAAACTTATACCACTACTTTTGTGATTTTACTTAAAGCACATAAAAAATTGATATTTCATTTGAGTCTTAAGTAAATGTGACAAGAATTGTGTTGTGCATGCTTGACAAAAATTCATAAAACATAAGGTCTTTATACGAGCGCATGTTTTTTATGGCATGACTACTACTACTACTTTGGTTGCTGCTTGCGTTTTTGAATGAGTCACTTGTTAATGAATTGTGCGGTTTTAAGTCACTCCCAGATTTTTTTTTTTTGTTTTTTTATTTTAGGGGTAATTTAACTTTATTTTTATATATTTATTTTATTTTATTTTTTTTTTTTGCTTTAAGTTAACCATTGCCTTGGTAGGTGGCACCGCTATGCCAAAGCCACTCATATCAATGACAATTGAAATCCTTAAAGAAAACGGTTTCAATTTCAAGCTGACCAAACACATTTTGAATTAATTTCATTTATTGCATTGCAACAACACTCAAAGAAATATTTCAGAAAGACATGATATTTGGGTCTTAGCAATGAACAACCATTAGAATTATCAAATCAATCTTTGGACTATTCTTGAAGGCTGCGAATTCTTAACCTTTTTCGCTGATAAATTTTTACCAGAGTAGATAAGTACGCATAGACCGAGTTAGAAATTTGCAATACAGCACAGTGTTGAAGTATTTAAAAAACTAATCAAAATGGGATTTTGTAATAATTTAATAAAATAATGAAAATGAGAGAGCAGAGAAAAAAACGAGCAGATTAAGGCAATTTAATACCTCGCTCAATAAGTTCGTAGGACAAGACATATGTTAGATTAAATGACAAAGTCAATAATTGACTGATGAAACTAGGAATAGACGACGTGTATTTTTTTTTTTTTTTTTTTTGTTCTACACTCCAAAATTCGTAGTTCTTTTGCTGCAAGAATAATTTAATATCGAGGCTTTCTTTATTTTTATTAATGTTGGTACTATAATTTAAAAAACCTAAAAGCCCAAAGTGCCCAACGGTCTATAATGATTCAAATCAATTCATTCTCCTTTGTTTTTGGTGAATGATGACTGCTTTTTCTTGCTATTAACTTTGAATATATAACAAATTTCTTTCAATTTTATTGTATTATGAAAGCATTTGATTAATTCTCCAAAAAACAAGTAAGAAAGTTATATTAAGCACGGGCCGAATCTCGCATACCCACCACTATGTTTTTTTACATTCTACTCTCCACATCGCCGGTATTATTACCATTACTACCATATTCATTTTAAAATGAACCCATTTTTAGGCTGATAATATATCTTCATTTAAAAAGTGTACGAAATAGTTTTACACATTCGGTCTTCTTTCCTTTATGATAAATAAGCATAAAACCTATGGGCAAGGCCGATTGTTTCCATTCTTGAACGTAAAGAGTAGAGTGTATCGCAAAGTCAATGTGGAAAATTTCAGCTCTCTAACTTTAATAATTTCGGAGTAAGGAGCAAAAATCCAAAAACAATTTTTTATAAAAATTTACGCCCCACAGCGCGCTTGTGCTCTGACAGATTTGACCAATTTTTTAAAACCAGCCCGCATGCAGGTTGTTTCTAACAAATTTGAAGTCGATATCTTCATTTTTGCGACCACCAGAGTGCCAACAACACACAGTCAGAGAGATACACAGACGGACAGACATGGCGAAATCAACTCAGAATCAAGAATGCACATATATATAGGGTCTTTATAGGATCGTTGAAGCTTCTTTTTGACTGTTATATATAGTATGGAAAAAAACAAAATGAGTTTACCCCCACTTCACTGTAGTGGGTATAAAAGAAAAGAAAAACAGATTTTCAGATACAATTTCCTCTCTTCTTTTATATGAATCAAAGACACTGTGCATTGAGTCTTTATTATTCAAGCACTGAGCTATAAACAGTTGCTGGTCATTGTGTAATTGTTTAAAAGTCTAACCCGAAAATCCATCTATCACACAATGACATTCGTTTACGTGTACTGAAGAACTACGCCAACGTATAATTTCTATTGGAAGCTGAAAGCAAGATAACGAATCTATGTTAATGTTAGCGCGCACACGATTCAAAACTCTCGGCAAGAAAGGCTTATTTTTTATTTGTTATTATTGTCTCTGTAATAAAGCATTATAAGCCTTTAAAAATCGCTACCTTTTACTATGTGACTTTAATGCAGTGTGGCATAGATTTAAAGGCAAACCAATGGTTGTGCCTTGCGTAGAGGTATTTGGGCTTCGATTGATTGATTAATGTTCAATGAAAATTTTTTCTCACTGTTGGGTGCCATTCATTGTCATTCATTTTCTAAACTCACAGCATGTGCCATTTTTTTCCTTTTTGTAATTTGCATAAACATTTTTACCGCAAATCGTTAAGGAGGAGGTATTTGGAAGTTTTACCAAAAAAAGAATTCGCAACATTTTAATTGTTTTACCGTCAAATTTCCTGTTGTGTACTATGCCATACCGTACTATTCTATATATGTGTACATTGTGTGTGGAAAGACTTTGCTTAGCGCTTAAAGGGTGTAAATTTTTGTATAGCTTATGACTGTTGATAGAAACAATTACCATTTAACGGTTACACCAGCAGCAAGTAACAAAATATTTGTTAAACAAACTATTTGTTAAATTATGAAATTTAATAAACAATAAATCATAAAGCGATTTTTATCTCTTCGAGCAAACTATTTCAATAAATTTATTATAAATTTTAAATCTTTCTGTGAAAATCTTAAAGGAATTTTTTTTGTTTTTTTTGACCGAACTTTTGCAAAATTAAAAATTTTCTCCAAATTCAAATCTAAAGGTGAAACGTGGTCAAATTCAAAAGCTGTGTTTATTAAAAAATAAAAATATAAAAAGCAGAAAAATACTATTATCATATGTTTGATAGAGAGAAAGAGAGGCGAGAGAAAGCAACAAATGGAGAATTGTCACAGAAGAGATATTTTTGCAAAAACTCTCTCGACGTGCGCACATGTCTGGGAAACTGTTGAGAGTTGAAACTGCTGCACGAAGATGAGAGAAAATTGCATAAGTAACAATAAAAAATGTCAAAAATTTCCTTATAGAGGCTTAGCGTATAAGGAATTCGAGGTAAACTTCGTTTTAATGTAGGCATATGCTTTATCTTAATGAAAATGTGAAAAATCCAGAACGATCAAAATCGGATATAGAAATTGTGTAGAGAAATTCTTTAATAATCATTTGAACGATTTACAATATTCTCTGGGCACTTCCCGTCTTCTTGGGGATTACAGGTTTTAAAGGGCTCTATTTTATCATTGAAATGGCTAGCTATCCGTTCTTTCGGTTATCGATCGCAATCTCGAGCTAATGTCATTTCTCAAATTTTTCGCTCATTTAAATCCGGCATCAGATCATTAAGAAACACATCGGCGAAACCCACTGAAGCATTAGAGTATGCATCGAAAGCAGGAAAATCAAATTATGGGTAAATATATTTGCTTTAAGCTTCTAGGTGGAAAGTCTACATTTCTTGAGGTTATTGATGTTTCCCAACTACGTAAAATATAAAAGGCCTTAAATAGTTTGGATGAACTCACTTTTTCGCCCGTTTCCCATATGGCACCCTATTATGAAAAAATTGGCACCCTTGGATAGGCTGGGTCAATTTTTCAAGCCTCTCTCGCATGGCCGTTCCTACAGAAACTGAATCTTTATTTAGCAAATAGGTACAATTGTTGATATTTCATGGTGAAAATTAGTTCACAATAGTAAATTAACATAAAAATCAACCTCACCGAATATGGACCACGTACTTTGCATGAAAATAATGTGTAATGTTTGGTATATTATTAGCAAAATGAGTGAATAACTTTATTAGGCAAAGTGTTGTAGGGTGTCTAATAGTTGGCCTCGCACGTCTATAATGTTGGTATTTATTTTCGGATATATTAGATTTGTTGTGACAAACGTAACCAACGTGTTGTGCTTTGAGTATTATTCTGCTCATAACGACTTCTTTGACGAGTTCGCCACAAGACACAGCAAGCCATAGCGCATGCGCATCCTTGTAGTAAACATTTATTTGATAGAAGCACAAATTACGTTAAATTCCTATCGTATTAAAATGGGAAGAAGAAAGAAAAACTTTATCACAACTTCACATTGCAACGCATTTCCAATTGAGCTCTGAAATCACAGCTAATATAAGAAATACTGGCCTCAAATAATGGGGAATGCGAGGATTGCTTAAACATATTGGCTTCTGCCGCTAAACTTCTCAGATTTGGAAACTTTCTCGAAGAAATAAGTATGCAAGTTACGACTGCTACTGAATAGTTTTCACAACATGAAAAACTTTCCCTCTTTTTGAAGAAACATTTTACTTTCTCGTGCTCTTTTTCAATTCGCAAATGGCATAAGGAAAGTTCAAAAGTATCCTCTCTCGCAATTCTCAATTCTATGAGAAATTCTACATCTATTGTTTAACATGAGAAGTATACTCAGGCAAGAGTGAAAGCACAGTAGCATTAAGCTGGCGTTGGTGTAAATTAATTTCACATGTGCTCCCGTAAATGGTGGAAACGACTCTCATAAACATACAAGCGACGCGTTTATGGACAGAATAACAAAACGGGTGGTGTAAGACAAATGACGGGCGCACAGTGGAATTTTAATGACACATACAGCGAAACGCACATGTCCGAGTCCAATTGCTACTGTTAGAGAGCAAAAAAACTCACTAACTGAGTATCTACGAAAATCGTATAAAGAATTTTAAATAGAATTGCAAGTACGGAACCAAATACAACACACACAATTAGAGAACGCACAAAATGCAAGAATTTTAATTAAATGAAATTTTATTTTTTATTGTTTTTCTTCTTTTTTTTTTGTGCAATTAAACGGCATGAAAAGTAGTAGTTAATCTACAAACGGAAAATGAAAATTTCAAAGTTATTGTAATAGAATTAGAGAGAGAAAAAAAAAAAAAACGAAGTGAAAAATGCTTTAAATAAGAATAACAAAGTGAATCGGAGCTTAGGTAAATATATAAAGAAAAAGATTGTACAAGAAAAAGTTTCTACATGAATGCATTATAGGATAAGAATAAAAAGTGAAATGTGCAAAACGAGGGTACACGCCTTTTAAGTGCTATACTTGAAAAGGTTAAAGAAAAAAAAAATAACCCAACCTATAGCGTAAGAAAAACTTAAAAAGCTGCATTAAACTCAAAAACTCAAAAATTGCATTAGGAAAACCAAGAAAATTTTGTCGATATTATGATACCGTCGTACTGCTGTACGCGTGTATTGTGAGTCCGCATTGTTCACTTCAACAGAATCATTTTCCACATAATTCATTTATTTGTTTTATAATTCATAATCGGCCATTTGTCTCGGTCAATATCCTTTGACCTAAATTGTTGTCTCCAAGTGTGTACTCGGTTATCTATGTGCGAGTTTGTATAAGTTTTAAGTTTCATGTATACAAAGCTTAACATACTCGTCACGCTTGATTGTGCATCTGTTGATGTTTGTGTGAAGATTTTCATTCCAAAATTGTTTTTCTCATCTCAATTATTGCCTGTGTAACCCAATCCAAGCAAATGTCTGCCCATATTTTATAATCTATGACTATGACTATGGCTAAGTGCCCGTTACTTTTGATGTCTCTCCACTTCTGCTTAATTTTTTGTAAACACTATCTTCAGCTATTACGTCCTCTCCTTTTCCCTATCTATATAGATTTTATGACGCCACAGACTAAACACATTTTCAGTTTTTTGTTTTTTTTATTTTTGCTTTCTGAAAACTCATCACTTTACTACTGTTTGCATAGTATCTATAGAACACATATACATAAACATTTAGTTATGGCACAACATGGGCACAACAACATTTAAGTGATAGGGATGCGTATAGAGATGTGTATCTTTTTTGGGAGTTGTCTCCTCTTTTTACATATGTGTTCACATGTCGCGTTTTATCCTGTTTCCCAGATCAGCCAACATTACCACCGGCCATTTTTAACTTAGTAGTAATTCTGCGCATAAAACTCTGGAGTGTTTATGATGAGCTTCTTGTTTATTCTCTCTTTTCTTCCCTAGGACATAACCTACCTTTGTTAAGTTCATCGTGTGCTCACATAAACTTTTTTTGTGTTTTTTTTTTTGGTTTATACGTACACTTATTCTACACTCCTGCTGTGTGTCAATGTCTATACGTTTAACTGATATCTGTTGCGGTTAAGGTTTTTTATTATTGCCTTTCATTATAATTACGTGAATGCTTAACGTTGTAATCAAACGCATTCAGGTTTATAGCAATTAGCAATAGTTGTTGTTGATATTGTTGCAGTTGCCGCCAAAGGTCTGTTTTATAATTATAGCTCTGTTTTCGTGTATTGCCAGCTAATTTGGATATTTAGGTAAAGACTTAATGGCACATTATTTTTATGGTTTTGGAGATATCCAGTGATATCTTACAATCCAAACATATAAAAACAGCACTTTGATTACGCTACTTGGCTTATCCATGTTCATTTTTTTATTTATTTTTTTTTTTTATTTTTTTTTTTTTCTTTGAAGGTTTTTTTAATATGGGAATAATTTACTGATCCTTTGGTTTTTAACAAATTTAAATAGAAACTTTTGATAGTTCAATCAAAAACTGAAAGCCTTAATAAAAGTGAAAATAAAATAGCACAGCAAAGCAGATATAGAACAACATATAAAAATTAAAGAAAAAAAATGCGTGGCGGACGTGTAACATGAAAAAATGAACAAAACATTAAATAAATGTAGTTTAATTGCCAAATATAAAGAAAGAATAATATAAACAAATAAAAACGTATATGTATATATATATATATATATATATATATGAAAACTATCCCAACTTTGTTAGGGCCTAAACAACGAAGTTTGTGTTCACATTGGGCCTTTTCACACATCACCCCGAATCTTCGGTTGTTGATTTGCTGAAAAGCAGAAGAAGAGGAAGAAGAAGAAATATATAGAATAGTTTTTATTGTTTATTTTTGGTAGAGAGTAAAAATTATTATCCTTTCCCGCAGTTCATTTCAGATGCCATTTGATTGTATAAAACTGTTCGCATCACATTCAAAGCACCGTCATTAGCCGCAAGAAGCGACGCATTATATGCTGATATAGTAAACGTTCAATAATCATCGCATTTCTAGCCGAGATCAAGCATGGGAAAGGATCAAGATTTTTTGGAAGCTGCCCGCAACGGAAATATTGATTTTATAGAAAAAGTACTTAATCAGAAGGCGAAACGAGCCGGTCCTCTGGCTAGTCTACGCAGAGGTACTGGCGTAAACTGTCAGGATAGTGGTGGCTACTCAGCTCTTCATCACGCCTGCCTTAATGGTCATGTTGATATAGTAAAATTACTACTGGCTCATGAGGCTTCACCTAATTTGCCCGATATGAGGGGCTCGTCGCCTCTTCATTTGGCCGCCTGGGCAGGTGAAGATGAAATTGTAAAAATGTTATTGGGTCATCCGTATCGACCAGCGAATCCTAATTTACAGACCATAGAAAAAGAAACACCGTTACATTGCGCCGGGCAACATGGCCATACAGGCGCTTTGTCAATACTTCTAAGTCACGACGCAGATCCGAATATGCGAAATACCCGAGGTGAAACGCCGCTGGATTTAGCTTGTCAATATGGAAGATTACAGGCAGTACAAATGTTAATACGAGCTCATCCCGAATTAATAGCCCCTTACAGCCGTTCCAGTTTAGAATGCCAAACGAACAATAAATCTCGGCATTCTTCACCCTTGCCTCACTCAAGTTCGATATCTACACCTTCACCCTCTTCACCATCACAACTCCCATCACCGGCTACACCCACACGCTACGTATTCCCTCATACTTGCTTGCACCTGGCCAGTCGGAATGGCCACAAACCAGTAGTGGAAGTTTTGCTGGCAGCCGGAGTTAGTGTGAATTTATTAACACCTTCTGGCTCTGCTTTGCATGAAGCGGCCTTATGTGGCAAGGAGTCTGTGGTGAAAACGCTACTTAAAGCTGGAATTGACCTAAATGCTACAGATGCAGAAGAACGAACCGTCTTAGACATACTTAAAGAGTTTCCGGCACATGTCACTAAGCATATTATTGATGTTATAAATAGTAAGTCTGTAGTCAAATTTCTTTTAAAGTTCGTCAGATGCATTCTAATATGACTTTTTTTTTCTAGATTTACGTAATCAAATGGACACTGATGATGGCGAAGACGTAATTTATCGTCATCAACAACAGCCCAATCAGTCAACAAAACGTAATCATAATTCCAGCAGTCATTATCAGAGGCAACAACACAACAACTATTATCATTTCAATTCGAATAATCATTTATTAAATCATTCTCATTCCATGCAACAATCCTCGTATAATGGCAAACAAAGATTCAGCTCTGGCAATACGTTCAACGGCGGCGGTAAGTCACTGGACAGTGGTTTACATTTAGACGATTCAGGTGGTGGTAATCGCTTATATCATGAAATTACAAATTCACCAATTAGAAGTCACTCAAATGCATCGCATCAGTAAGTTGCATATGCTTGACTCACATGTAACGAAATAAATTGTTTTCTTTACAGTGATATAGCTGTTAGTCCGTCATCATCGATGAGTAGTTTTGAGCCAGCTTCGATATCGCCAAGGTCTAGATGTTCAACAGGTATATGAAATGTTTTTCATTAAATTCTTCTTTATCACAACATTTCTTTATAGGAGGAGTAAGCAGCTTCGTTGGTAACGCGCCCATATTAAGCAGCTTTGGTCCTGCCGCGCCGCCTAAAAAACCACCCCGACGCAATCTTTCTGTTTCACCGACTCACACGGGACAAACATTCAGCTATACATCACCCAATCATCAACAGCAATCAACATTTGGACGTCGGCAGATGCGTAGTCCCTCAAACGACAGTCCATACTCTTATCAAAGTCCCAGCAGTGTGGGAGGAACGAGCTTTGACGAATCGCAACTTAGCGATCGCCAAAGGGGAAGTCGTCTATTTATCAGTGCCCGGGAGACTACACGCTCAGCAGCAGGAATATCATTAAGCTCAAGTAGTAAGTTTTTGCCTCTTCAAGTTTCCGGAAAAAACTAAAGAGTTAATGTTTATGCTAATTGCAGCGGATATGTTAGAGAAGCGACATCACGATGAAGATAATGTGGAAAATTTAGTGCCAAATTCCCACGAGGAAATGACCAATTCAATGAAGAGACCGAAACCAACTCCAGGAAATGTTAACGATATCAAGGACACCGTCAATGCTGATAGTTCCTTAGCGCTTAAATCCTATAACCCAAATCGAAAATTGAAAAGGAATCGTAACAGCTAGTAAGACATTGCTAAAAGTTAATGGTGAGACGGTCATTGAAATTTTATTATTGCTTTCAGTTCTCTTTCAACGGGGGATCAAGAACAATCCGATCCTCGCAATCTAGTACCGCAGAGTCCTACAAACTATAAACAGCCACCGACGCCCGATCATCCCCCGCCATCTTCCAGTCAGGCGGAGAAAACAATACACGAGCGCATACGGCCTCTTAGCCAGGAATACAAGAGGCGCTCGGCTTTAATACATTTGCAAAGACAACAACAACAAATGATCGATATGGGCACTTCACCATTGAGGCATACGAATTTATCCAATAGCTCAAATTATGATTATGCATACGTACAGTCGCCTACCAAATTGAATGCTATATCAAATTCTACGACCATTTATTCTACCATAGAATCGGGGGCGATACGAGGCTCTTCGGGCTCACTCAGTTCCAGCGTGTCAACGTCAGATCACAGCGCCTCCACAGATAATGTTGAAGAGTTTGTGGGGGATGCTCCGTTTGCAGGCCTTATAAAAGGATCAATAGCTAACAATCGCAGATGTGAACCAGCTTATGCTACAGTAAATAAACCCCGAAAAACCAGCCCACCTCAAGTTCAGCTGCCACCGTCAAGACCGCAACAGCAATTACCTCCACAAGGCCAAATACCAGTTTATGCAACTATACATAAAAAACGAAGCATCTGCGCAAGCGACCAGCTCCTACAAAAGCCGAGACCACCCATACCGGCAAAACCTGTAGTACCAGAACGAAGACTTATTAAAGCTCAACCCCCACAACTACCAATATCGTCAAAAATATCACCAACCAAACGCGAAACAACGACTAATAACGCAAACAACGATGAGGACCATGTCATGAAAAATAGTTGCCCGGAAACAAACGAAGACAAAATAAGTGTTTCAAAAATTCCACTGGAAGAGAAAGATTCAATCAAGGATAGCGCACAAACTCAAGAGACAAATTTAGAAACAAGTGATAAGCTAAGTCATCAAAGTTCGTTGAATAGTTCATCGAACGAAGAGCAAGCGCAGCAAAACACACAAAATCACAACGAAAGTTCCAACGAAGAAAGCACAACTACAACGGCTACGACAACAACGTCAACCTCCCACGAAAGCAGTATTCTAAGTCCTTTCAATGCAGAAGAAGCACGCAAAAAAATCTCTGAAATCATCGAATCATTCGGTAGCGGTATCTTGAACAGCAACATATCACCCACCAATGACATAGATTTAGACTTTGATGATTTAGAAAATCCCACCGAAAGACAAGTTCTTATAAGTCGTTTACGTTCAGCTGGTCTCTTACATTTAGAAAGAATACTGTTCGAGAACGGCTACGATAACTACAAATTTATGGTACATTCAATTTAGTTGTGTCACGTAAAGATCTCTAAAGTTTCTTCATTCTACAGAATGGAGTGTTTGAGAAAGCGGATGTAGAGGCATTGCACATAACCGCTAGCGATGGCGACAAGTTACTTAAAGTTATACGGACCTTACCGAAAGCCGATTTTCAAGCGCAAGCCTCTATGAAGCAAGAGAATAAATCGCTTGGCATAACAAGTTTAAATCAATGGCTTACGAGTATTCAACTACCCGAGTACATAGAGTCCTTCAAGTAAGTTACATATAAATAATGAATTTATACCATTGGTGAGATATACGGTAACGTTGCAGTAAACATCTATACAACACTCTCGATAGTGCCAGCGGAGTTTGGGATGTCGAATTGCAAACCGTTTTGGAAATTAATAAACTTGGCCATCGGAAGCGTATTTTGCAATCTATGGCTTGTATTAAGCAAATACGTGAACCCAAATTAATTAATAATAAAGTTCCATTAAGTGGAAACGCAGCAACAATTAGTAAAGGTAAAGACACCGCCCAACGTCACTCGACGACGGGCTACCGCAAAAACAGGTTTGTGTTGAGGAACGTTTGCTCTAATTTTAAAATAATTATTATGCATTTTATCTAGACCTGCTCCGCCACCTCCCTGTCAAAAGCCGGCACAGCAAACTCCTCATCAGGCATCACTACAAATACGTGCGCCCTGTGAATTGTTATTAGATTTACCCGATAATTTACGAACTAAATGGCGTCACTCAGCAAATGCTTTGCTCAATGGACAAATTAAATATGAAGTTTATGTATGTTTACATCTACACACAAAAACACACACATCTCACTATAATAAACGCATTCGCATGCATCTATTATTTTCAATAGTATTTAGGCTCAACGGTTGTGAAAGAATTGCGTGGCACAGAATCGACACGCAAATCAATACAGAAACTTAAGCAGGATGAACAACAAACCACAGCTACCAATATGTTAACGTCTTCCGTGCCAGAAACTAATGCTGCCCGTAATCAATCATTTCAAAATCACAAGAGAATTCTTGTAACTCTGGCCATATCGTTTCGTGGCGTCGAATTCTTGGATATCAATACAAAGGTACGAATGCTGAAAACGAATGATAAAAATGTCAGAAAAAAAAGAAAAAAAAAGCAGAAAAATAGAGCAGCAATTACATCTAACAAATAATTGATTTATTAACTTCCTAGAATACCATTTGTGAACACGAGATACAAAACATTAACTGTGCTTGCCAGGACGCCGAAGATATGAGATACTTCGCGTATATCACTAAAGAACGAGATATACACTACTGTCATGTTTTCTATGGTGAAAATAAGGTAAGGAATAGGATAAAGGAATTTGCTGAGCAAATAAATTTCGTTTTGTATTTGGATTTTACTTTCAGGATCTGGCTACTGAGATAATATTGACATTGGGACAAGCCTTCGAGGTAGCTTATCAATTGGCTTTGCGTGACGGCATTATTAACACACCTTTAGCCACCTTGAATAGCGGCATTTTACATGGCCTTGAACTTGCCGCCACGAACCAAGTTAACCAATAGAACTCAAGAAGTAAGAAGACTAAATAAATATTCCACTCATTGATTTGAAATTGTTTCAATGTTTTCTTTTTCAATTTTTGTTGCAATCGATACACACAACACACAGTACAGTACAGATTTACTTACTTACTTACTTGCTTACTTGCAATATGAATATTTTAGTTTTTAGATAATTCGAAAGAAAACGATGAGACACGCGCAGTGATTCTAGTCACACAATCATAAATTCGTTCAAAGTAAATAAGAATATAATTTTAGTTAGTGGCGAGCAGGTAGTTTCAATACAAAGTTTCTTCTTAAAATGACTCGAAGAACATTTTCTAAAGAAAATATTTTAAGCATTTTTTTTTTTTTTATATTACGTAATATATAAAAGAATTTTTAGAGAAAGTTTTTGCACAAGATAAACAAATTTTTTCAAATTGCACAAAATGAAAGTAAACATATTAATTAATAGCAATTATTAGAATATAATTGAGCTTAAAACAATCAAATAATTTTTTTATAAAATTTTTTCACACCGTCAACCAAAATAATTTCATTTAATTTCATTTCATTAATTAATTAATCATTACTTTAGTAAATGTGTGATGAGCAAAAAGGAATAGCAACACACATACGCTTTGCCCTTACTTTACTTGTACGCGAGCGAATGATGCGGTCTATCAAATTTTTTCTTCTGCTTGCAACACCCAAAAGAACACCCTTCAGAAGTCCTATAACGATCATAATAGTTTAAGTTTCTGAGTGAAATGTTCCACTAACCTGGCCATCTATTTCCCGTATCCTTGAGACGTGCATTTACTTTAAATTGAATACAAACAGCAAGACGAGACATGCGCCAAGTCCAAGGCGATACGTCGGGTTTCATAATGGACGTTCTACGTAAGGCAACTATTGCCGAAAAATGTAATTTTGATAATATTATATCACTCATTGAGGGATTTATCTGAAAAATCAAAGCAGCCAGTTAATAGATTGGAGACGGTCGTCGCGGGCTCAAAAATCGCAGTGCCCTTCAGTTCAGTCGGCGATAAGTCGTTCCGATCACCCATTAATTCTCTCTTTTTTTTTGCTCTTCTTTCTGACCATCATGGTATTGCACGTGTAGGGGATGCCCCCGGATGATTGGTCCCATTGAAGAAGAACCAAAAAAACTTACTATCCTAAACCGTATGCCACTATTCTGTCCCTTTTTTAACACGTACAAATCTGAATTTGAAATTTCGAATCGATTGTATGTTATCGACTGCCAGACTTCTCAAAACGCTAACAACTGAAAACTTTCAAAGAGAAAACTAAAACTTGGCGCAAGATCTACAAGTTCATTTTAAATTCGCAAAAAGCGAAATGGAACCACAAAAAAAGTCTCAAATTAGTCCTTACTTGCTCGCCGAGAGTCGCAGCCTATTTAGAGGGAGTATTTTTCTATTTTGCCTACGAAACTGAATTACAAATAGATTCGTCAAGTAAGACAACTTTTTCTCTTGGCTTTTTATGCCGCACACCACTTGTAGTACAAGGCCATAATAAGTTTTTGCAGATGTATGCAAGATCTAGAGGAACTTGGGATTGATTCGATCCATCTTTCATTATACTGATCGACTCAGAATCACTTTTTGGCATCGACATTGTTTTCTTGTGTTCAACACACGCATCGTCATCTTTGAGATCTTTTAATTCATTTAAATTACTCTAATTGGGCCAATTTTGTCGATCGCTTCACTTATAACATTTTATATTTGATTTCCTATTAAGCGAAGTGGTGTAAGGCATTCAATGATGGGCCGTGCCCTGGTATAGTGCTATTAAAATGGTTTTTACTTTGAAAGTTAAACCGTGTGCGATAAGTAATTAATAAATGCGTTTGTATCGATTCGAAAATCTTGAAAGCGTCTATCAAATGTATTGAGAACTCAGGGAACTGAGAAAGCACTAGTTAATTAAAAATTATAAGGTAACATTATACCCTTTTGCGAGCAGTACGATACACTCAAGGTATCAGAGCTCCTACGTTTGTTCGTCACGCATTTGCTTAACAACAGGAATTATATCGTAAAGCTGAAACAGTAATGATTTCGAAATTAAAGTCACGCTTTATTATGCATATAAGATTTTAAAATAAGAAATAAGAAACGATAACAAAAGAATTAAAGCACAAAACCGAACATTTAATAAAGTAAAAATATTTCAAATAAATTATTCTGCAACAACAATTTAATTAAATAAAATTTATACAATAAAGCGAAACATAAACATTCCTTAATGATATAAAATGAAATATTTTTTTTTTTTTTTTTTTTTAAATTAAATTAAAAAATCATAAAAAATATTAAACGAATTGTTCATTTAAACAACCAGAAACTGTAAATAAAATCTAATATTATTGTTGTTATAAAAAAAAGTAAAACCATCTAAAAATATCTTAAAAAACTAAAACCGAACAGAAACAAAAAGACAGAAAGACAGAAAGACAGAAAGATAAAGAATCATAGTAAAAAGAGGTCTTACGATAAACGTTAGCAATTAGTTATCCTACGCAGAGTACATAATAAGTTAAAACATTAGAGCTTTTTCTCCCATTTCTGTTATCGTTTTCTTTCCACCCATATAAAAAGATTGGTAAAAAATATAATAAACCGATGATGAAGATACAAAAGTAAACAAATAAATGAAATCATGTTATAAGCTTTAAATGCTTAAAAATATATTTAAAATATTTAATTAAAAATTATATTAAAATTGTTGTAGGCTTTGAATTAAATGAATGTTGTGTAAAAATCGTAGAGAATATAAATGACAAACAACTAAGAAATCTGTGCTCGCTCTAGAGCGAACCTTGTTCACCCATTATCGTGGGATATATATATGCAAATACACATAAGCTGTTAGACGTGATTCGAAATATTTGACCGATTTATGACACTGCTCTAGATCCCGATAGATAGAAAACATTCGCAAATGTTCAATCCTCTTCGAACTTTTATATAAACACGTTCAGTAGACCATGAACCAAGAAATCCGGTCCTTCTCCCAAATTCCCGAAACGCAGAGTTTCTTCAATTTATGCGCCCGTAGATACTAAAACATTTAAGAGAGTGCTTGTATAAATACGTTCATTCGACCGTGAATGAAGAAACTGTGACTCGAATTGACTCTTTCTATCCGGACTTGGGAGTTCGACTTGAAATTTCGCAAAACCAAACGCAACTTTACGGAGTAGCAAAGAAACAAATTGAAGGACCTATAAATCCTAAAACATTATGCGATTCGAAATCACTCTGTCTTGCGGAATTCTCGCGAATTTGGAAGTTTTGATGCCACGCAGATAGTAAGGAAGAGTCTACAAATTTTGGCAGCATTTGAATACACATCCACAAACCCGACTGACAAAGTTAACATATAAGAGTCCTTCGATGATGGGTACAGTGAGTATCTTTTTCAAAATTTTCCTTATCGTGCAATACAAATGAAAAGAATTGGTTTCAATTATGTCCCCTTTGTCTACACTACTTGCTTTCTTTTTACACAAACACTATTTCCAAACTAATTTATAACTGTTTTCTGAAACCCAATTTTGGATTTCTTCGTATTTGATTTTTTTTTATTTCAAATTCTTACATATAGATGGTACAATTAAAAAGGCAACCCTTTTCTCGTAGTACCTTTGCATTCAAAACAACAACAAAATTAGTAAAAACAAACCAAACAAAATTTAATATGTACTCTTTTTATAAACATATTCACTCATTCATGAATTTTGTTTAATTAATGCATACAGTTTAATAAATGTTACAAAAAAAAAAAAAAAAAAAAAACAAATAAAATATTATATTACTTTAGAATATTTACTAAAAATAAAATCAATGGAAAATAATTCAATAAATCGGATATAACTTTGCAGCCTAAATAATCGAATAAATCTGACATTAATACAAATATATGCAAACAAACATACGGCATGTACTCTACTCATACTCATACTCATACACAATAAAAAGATGAAAGAAAGAAGAGAAGCAAATAAGAAACTTTTACAAACACACAAAAATGCAATACATCTAAAATAGTATCCATAAGAAGACTTATATCGTCATCCAAGAAAAATAACAACTTGACTAATAAATGGAAAGAAAAGTATTTAAAAAAAAAAATGTTGTCTTCTTCATTAAAAATTCAATGAAGAACATACGGAATATGGTAAACCATGAAGCAGTGTTGTGTTAGCTATTTGCCTATATTAAGGCTTTTAAGGTGTAAGGAGTTTTGACAAAATGAATATATCCCCACCCATTGGTGATAGGTATAAATAAATGCAGACTAAACGAGTTGTTTTTTTTTTTCTCATTCACACGTGGATCGCAGAGCTTCTTCAATTGAAAATGCCTCACGAGGATGGCTTGAGTGTTGTCAGTTTTCATATTTGTCCAAAGTAATGCTTAATAATCTCCTCAACTATTTATTATTTTTCTATTAGCTTTACTTTCACGTCCAAAGCAAAAAAAGATGGTCAAAATCCCTTTTAATTTTGGGCAGTTGTAGCGGCCTTATCATTCTGAAACTGCTGATTCTTACAGATAAGCAAAGGCAAGGAGTTGACGACGACTTTTTGCTTGATGTCATAGTAATAAATAATAACACGTGCATAATTAAACAGCGGGTTTGCGCTTAAAAACCATATATCGAGAGATTATAGGGCCACTAAGATTTTTACCCTGCAGCCAGTTACAGAAAAGCATATAACTGTGCTGGTTGGGACCTGTATTTACTTACTGACGTAAATTCAATAGCGAGACACAATACTTTAAATGACGGCACTGACCATGCAGAGCGGATCGTGAGTGCTATGAGTTTATGGTTTTTTAATTGCTTGTGACCCTGCGATATGTTGCACGCATCAAAGCAATTTTATATGCGAAAACCCTAAGAGAAACAAACGTTAAAGCGTTTCTGAAAGAGAGATTAAAGCGAGCTCCTTTATTATGTCCACGTCCAAATATCTAGTTCGTCTTACCGTAAGTCATCTAACTTTGCAAATAATTGTAATAATATTTGCAGTAACAACTTTTCGCACCTACAGCAATTTCATATTTTTTCAAAAGCACACGATCGACGCAACGACGATACATTCATATTCAATTAAAGCAGTTAGCATTTGAAAATTCTCCCTAAAGGAGAATATAATGTTTTGTACGTATTGCCCTATTCACCCAATCCTACCTTCGAAGTGGTGATTACAAAATAGAAAAGAAAAAAAATGTTTTTGTTTACTTTTACCTTAACTGAAAGTATTTTGAAAAGCACAAAAAATCGACAAACGAACACACACACACACTAACAATAAATATCCTGCAGCTGTAAAACTTCCATATGTTTCGTTCGTTTTTGTTTTTGGCTAATGATATGGCAATTTATTTTTTAACTGGACAGCGTGAAATCCTTAGCTGGTTATTTATGTATATTTTTCTCGCCACGAGAGAGAAGAAAAAAAACTCACCAAATGATTGTTTATGTATGTATGTGTGTGTGTGTGTGTGTGCATAAGTTTTTATATATGAATGAATGAATTCTTCGTCAAGAGGATTTAAAGCAAAAGCAAAGAAACGTGTTTTGAAATGTACTCCTTTTGGTTTTTCTTTGTTTTCGTTTTTCTTTTTTCTTTTTTTTTTTTTTTTTTTTTTTTTTTTTTTTTGTCTTTTGGGGGCAAACGGCAGCAACAAGAACAACGATAAGACCTACTTTTGACCAAATTGTCAAAGTATTTTTGGTTTCTTTTCATTTTATTCGTTTTAATTCGGACTATGACCATTCGAGTAGATTTGCCCGGCGGGTTATAACACAGCGAACGACTACAATTCATTTGTTTGTTGTAAGCACCACCGA